GCTTGGTCCGTACTGTCAAGACCTCGCGCTGATATTCTCCCAGTACGGCCCTCGCGCTTGGTTAATAAGATATATGTCCTGAATTCTGAGGCTTTAATCTTCCTGAGCACTGATTTTATCCTGGCTGAGTGAGTCTATTTCAATCACACTAGTATATGTTTATTTTCATTTGTATTATACAGTTGTTAATCAATCATTGTACATGTTAAAAAAGAAATCATACATTTCTACTTATAGTATGAGCTACAATCTCCATCCAGATGAGTTGTTAAAAAAATATTTAAGGAAAAAATATTAAAGTGAAAGATAAGTCATTTGGATTATTAAAGTGGCACAGAGACATGTCCAGCAAAAAATTACTTCAAAATTTGTTAAGAATTCATTATTATTGTTTGTCCTCTCACCACTCTGTACAAACTACCCTGTCCACTTCACCATGATGAAAATTTGCCATGATGTTTACCCTTTTACTCTCAAGATCTCATTATAGTAATTTTCCTTCCTGTCAGTCCCAATGGTAATAGAAATTCTCTTATTTTGTAGCTGTTCAAAATGAGAGGGACACCATTTCAAAAAGGCCGCGTGGGGAAGAAGCAGACAGCAAATTTGGGCTCACTACAGATGTGTTGTTGTCAGCCGAGATTTTGTCACGTCCTGCAACTTCACCTCCAGGTAGATGTTTAAGACTGTTATGTGTATATACCAGATTTCAGAGATAACTATCTCAACCCATAATACTACATGTCTTTTTTTTTGTGCCAAGGTGTTACAGGTCTATGTCCAAACAGTATTTCCCAGCAGATAATTACCTTAATTCTCATGACCTGTCTTTTTGATTGTGCATTTGATACTAGTTGGGAGAATTCAGTTACTGACCAATATTAGGGTCAAGTAATTAAATTTTGAATGAATAAATTTTAGGTAATAAGTTGATGACAAACTGCTTTTAGGATCTGTTGGGGTAAATAGGTTCTAAAGTCTTTGTTCCCTCTCCTTTGATGTTAAATTTCTTTTAAAAAAAAAATGCAAAATACTTAGTCTAAGGTTCATTGGGACCCCAAAAATATACCCTTTCAATGACTAGAAGTGATTAACATATAATCTCTCCCAATAATATCCATAAGTTGTCCAGCAAATGGGAATTAAGAATACTCAAACTTAGAAATTGCCATGTTGATCTAATACCAAATTCTGGAAACTCATTTACAAGCAAATGTAAGCAGCCGGAGGGGAGAATTAACAGTCAGATCTTGAGAGTTAGAGAGGTAAAGGTGATGGTGTATCCAACTGAGTCATGGGTGGCAAGATGGGGAGGGGGAGAGAGAAAGGGAAGTTACATACAGGGGTATTACATGTACCCTTAGTTCTTTCTTGAAATTTGTCATTTACCAACCAAAATTGACTTTATCTAATATCAGTTTTATCTTTAATAGTAGAAACCCTAAGCATGGATAAGGAGGCAAACTACAGTGACATCTGTGAGTCAATGCGTCAACAACTCTTGGTCTTGGTGGAATGGGCGAAACACATACCAGCCTTTTGTGAACTGATGCTTGATGATCAAGTGGCCTTATTAAGGGCGCACGCCTCTGAACACTTAATATTGGGTGTCTCGCGACGGTCTATGAGCCTAAAGGATGTTTTGTTACTTGGAAATGACCTTGTCATTCCAAGAACAGCAGCAGATGCTGAGGTGCGGAGAATATCAACTCGTGTACTGGATGAAGTGGTTGAGCCTATGAAAGAGTGGAATGTTGATGATACAGAACATGCTTGCCTCAAGGCTATCGTCTTCTTCAATCCTGGTATGTCTTAAGAACAAAAAAATAAAAAAAGAGTGCAGTGGAACTCTTTTTATGCGATCACTGAGCTTAAATTTTGCACCTCATTGTGCACTTGACTACTGAAATGAAGTGCTGCTGTAACTATCATTTTCACCTTTGAAACAAAGGTAAAAATTGAGGCAGCATTGAAAAATTACTAATAAACCAATTATAAATGAAAAGGAAAAGAGAAGAATAGAGATGACAAATTTTGAGGAAATGAAAAAGTAATTTGTTTTCTTACAAGCAAGGAACAAAGAAAAAGTTGGACTTATGCAAAGGGAAGTGAATAACACAGACCTTCAAATTTATTTGTAGGATATTTTACCACTAAGCACCAGAAATTTTGTTTGCCAGTGTTGAGCAGAAAAATACTTGTAAAAGGAATTGAAGTAATAGCAGGAAAATATGAACAAAAAGAAATCAAAATAGACATTGACATCAATGCAGTTTTCAGTTAAACTTTCATTCCTTAACTGTTGAAGTAAAAATTGATATTGTTCATTGACATATTCTTACCATTAGATCATATTCATGTGGCTTTTGTGCTATAAAAATCCTTTCTTTTTTAGTATCACTTTCATATGTGTGAGAGTTTAATTACTTGCATGTATGTCTTGTGGCTTTCATTTCTTCACATGCCTTACTCCAGAGTATTCATTCATCATGAGATCATGCCCATCATGTGATAGTCCTGTGAAAATGTATTGTAATTTAATTCTTTCACTCCTGTGAGTGACCAGGACATAATTTCTTGTCACAATATCAATACAATTTCAAGCAGACAAGTGATGAGAAAGTAGAAAATATAAATCAGGGGATAATTGGTTGATTCAATACCAAATTCTCTTAACTAACATCATAAGAATTATATAGAAGACAGTAAAGAGAATTATTAATGATATCTTTGGAGTGAACGGGTTAATGAGGTAGATCCTCTAAGAATGTGAAAGCTGAATGCAGAGTTTAAGCTTATTGGTCTGTAGAAGTGATCTTTGTAATCTCCGGTGATATTCAGTTAAGGAAAGTGAAACGGTATCAAATTACATGGTATACGTGACTAAATTGTGACTGGCTTTAAATAACTTTTTTTTTACAGCTCAAAGTTGTAGCTTTAAAACCAAAACTTCAACAACTCATCAGAACAGATGTAAATATAACAACTGGTGGATGTGAGCTGATTGACCAAGAAAGAAATTCTCTCGATCTACAATATCAATAAAATATCAAGCAGACAAGTGATGAGAAATGAGAAAAATATCAATTACCAGAATGTTAGTTGATCCAATGCCACATTCTCTGGACTAACATCATGACAATATGTGATTTTTAGATGCCAAGGGACTAAGTGATTCTCAGAAAATCAAATCTTTGAGGTTTGAAGTCCAAACTATGCTTGAGGACTACATTGCTAAAGATCAGTATGACAGCCGTGGAAAGTTTGGAGAACTGCTTCTTATGTTGCCAACTATGCAGAGTATAGCGAAAGAAATGATTGATCAAGTTCAGTTTGCCAGACTGTTTGGTATGGTGAAGGTCGACAGCCTTCTTTCAGAAATGCTACTTGGAGGTTAGTTGGGAAAGCTTGAATGAATGGCACATTTCCAAATTGGCCTCTTTTTCAAAGCAAATCCTAGTGCTCATCCTTTAATATGATGTGTTTTCATTCACAAGCAAATTAAAGTCATTTTCATACAAATGATTGAGCACCAGGCCTCATTTTGAAGAAGAGGCCAAAGGTAATTTGGAATGGCCTAATACTGTCAATTACCAGACCTGAAAATGCTAGAAAATCAGCAGATGATCTTGTGAGGTATTGACATCAGACTTAAATATATGTAGGTTGAAATTAATTTCTTGATAATTGTTATCAATAATGATTTTTAAAAATGTGTGATAAATGGAAAATTATTGTTCTCAGTAGATATTATAGCTCGTAGAAGGAGGATTTCACTACTGTATTTATTCAAGTTGTTTACTGCCATGCAAATCTTCAATGCATGGGTAAAACACCTTACTCCCACAGAGCCTCTCTCCTCCGGGGAGTAGAAATGAGTACCAGCAATTTGTCAGGGAAGCCTGATGAAATATAGAATTAACCTTGCGATGGACTTGTATCCCATCTGGGGGGGAATTGTGGCACTCCTGGTTGCTTCATTCTAAGGGAACTGAGATAAGCTCTTGGTTGATTACAGACTTTACCTTAATCACAAAGTTGCTGACTGTTTTTATTTACAGTCAAAGTGAATGAGACTTAATTTATGGTACCATCACACTTGTCTATTTTATCAGGCACCAACATTGCTGAACAACTGGATGCAGCAAGCATTGTTCCCATGGCATCACCCCCACCTCCACCTGCTGTTCCGACACCTCAGTCCCCAGTTACCCCTCTTCCTCCAAACCGCCCTGACTTATTCATGAATGTCCCAGGTCCAAGTGTGGGGGGTCCAATGCAATCAGTACCAATGGTCCAAGACCGGAAATATGTACCTGGACCTTCGACAGCACTTCCAGGTGGTGTTGTCCCAAAGACAGAGAGATTTGACACGTGACAGTTGAGATGGCATGGAATTGTGTCTGGAGGCTTAACTCACACATACAGACTTAACAATACAAGTGATAGTAAGTCCTGTGTCCAGCTCTGGGTTGCTGCATCAAGATTGCCTGTCAAGCAAGCCCCATTTCTCATTCAAACTTGTCTTGAGTTCACTGTTCACTAGAGTTTTATCAGTACCAACCTCACATTAGGGGTGAATATTTAATTGATGTAGTCCAAAACAAGATTTTGTTTAACGTACCTGTTTTTAATAGTTACCCTGTGGAATAACATATGCAGCTTGTAAGTGACACTGCCAGCAGGGTTTAAGAGGAGATGGTAAATGTTGTTAAGTTAAAGTAGCAGCAAATTCAGGAATTGGCAAATTTGTCTGTAAATTAATTAATGTATTGTACAGTGTGTGAAATAGTTATTTAAATTGACTAATACAAATATTAGTATGTTTTGTTGACTTAGGAGTAAAAGAGAGAAATGAGGGAGGTACTTAATTTGGTTTGTTAGAGAGGGCATACGAGAGTATCCACACACACATAACTATGGTTTTGACTGGCCATGGAAGCCCTGGAAAATCACTAAACAAGGATAAGTTTTAGAAAGAGTCATTTACAATGACTTCTGCATGCGATCAAAACTGTGGCTTTTACCACCATGTTAGATCATGTTAGAATATCTTTTTCCATATTCTGACATGCATGCCATAGTATTAGTATTAAGATGTTGACAAGGCTATTTCCAGTGATTCAAAAACAATTTTTAACATACAGTAGGTGGTTATAAACCACAATCTCGCTGGCTAATAAAAAGTACCATTATTTTTGTATGTAGTTAGTTCAAAAAAGAGGGTAATTTTAAAATGACTCATTGTGTACATTGTTTGAGGCCAGCTGCAACTTGATCTGGGGTTGTAAGGTGTATTTATTTTTCTTTCTACTAGAAGCTGGGTTGACTTTCATAGAGAGCTTCTTTAAGCTGATTGCACATTTCAAATTGTTGATATAAATTTGTTCCTGTTTGTTTGGTATTATCCAGCTCAGTACAGAATCATAGAATTTTTTCAAGTGCACCCCAATAATTCTGTCCCCCAAAAAAGTTTGACATTGCTCATAAGAATTTACAATGTAAAAATTGCAAATCTGCCTAGTAAGGTTTGAACATTTCACAAAAAGCTACAGCATGATTTCCAATTTCCATACCCATATCCCATTTCATGACAGAGCTGTAGTTAACTAGAAGTCCTATAAGCAGTTGGTTCCCAAACATGTGCCCAAGTTGAAACCACCTGATTATCTTTCTGACCTTAGGTTAGTGATCTCCGTTTTCCATTTTCCATTTGTGTCCCCTACTTTGTTTACTAATGGAACTGGAACATGTTGTCTTAAAAACTATTGATATCCTTTTTTAGTATAAGAAGGAATGATCATTGTAACTGACTAGATCATCACAAGCATTAGTCTTTGTAGCCCTTCACTGTTCTGAAGATTTACTTTCATTAGGGTTAAGTAGTTACAGAGCTAGGTCTAGCTTATTTAGGGGTATTTTACATGTTCTCTACATATTTTGTATATAGAAAATAACAATAAATGAAACTTATTTTGGATGCACTGTATTATAAATAGCTTGGCACACGAGTGACATGCTTTACGGGTACTTAAGTTGCCTTTCTCGTTGTGTTTCTGACAAGTTAGAGCAAGCATAATGAATGCTCCACAAGAACTTATTCTGCACTTCCATACCACATCATTTGGTAATCATGAACTACTACCCATCAACAGAAATAAGTTATCAATTGTTCTGTCCTGATCAAGTTATGCCATTATTTCAGTCTTTAAGTCATGATCCCTAGCTTCAGCAAAGATGCAAAGCTCTTATCGGTTGTGTTGTTTAGACAATCCTGCATCTAGGAAATAAACTTGCCTTGCACTGATGCACCAATGCTTTGCACAGCTGCTTCACCAAAATGAAGATTCTCTCCCAAGTTTAAGCTAGATTTGAAGTTGTTGGGACAGACAGTATCACAACTCACATCTGCTAAAAATATTTTTCCCATACCTTAGAGATATTGCCTGTCCAGTTTCAAAGATGCCTTCACTTGCTCTAACTTCCATGATATTTCATAACTGCCATGGAATAACTTTATTATTTTATTGTTTAAAATAGTTGCTCAGTGTATCTATTATTTTCTTAAATGGGATTAAGAGGTATTTTTGTGCTATTTGCAATTTGTTAGCATAATGTTGTACACATCCACAGACATAAGACAATATCAGGAGAATAAAGTTGTATTTCTCCTCTTTTCAAGAAGGGCTTTAGCTGTTATCAGTACAGTTACTATAGTAGTAGTAGTAGTAGGCAGTCATCGGACCATGACCACCACTAGCGCAATTGCGACAAACACTTTCTCTCGTGGCTAAAAAGCCCAATTCTAAAACGGCAGACACGACCGCATCCACTGCACGCGAAGACACATGCCACTGGAACACACGTCGCTTTGTTCATTGCTGCTCTTCTCTTAGCTCTTCTATCATCGGCTTCAGCTTTCAGCCTTTCCTCTCCCGCCTGGACTGCCAGACTGCACACAGACCTCCAATCACTCCGATCGGCAGCATGTAGCTCCCAGTTATCTGTTAGCAGGCCAGTGGCAAGCATATCACTCTTGCATACGCCCTTGAAACACAGCTTAGTTACTATAGTATCTGTCAATTCAATTTGTTACACCTTTAACCCTTGAGTAACTGGCTTCTAATTTCTCCATTCATTATCACCCTTGAATCAATTGCAGAAGTCACAAGAATAAAGGAAATGATCCCTAGGGCCCAGTTGTTTGAAGGTTGGTTAGCGCTAACCCAGGGTTAAATTTTAATCCAGGCTTCTTAATCTCTCTGTCCAAAAGCCTTTTTGGGAAAATTTCCTCTATTCTTATTAGAACATCCAATCCTCAAATTGTAGACAAAATAATTTGAATTTAATTTTCTTTTAAAGCTTTCAGATATGAAATCAAATTTCACACTATCCTCGGGTTACCTTAACACAGCTTTGAACAACCTGGCCCTAATTATCAAACAAATTCTCTGTCAGTACCAAAGGAAATATTAACCCACAGATCTTTTAAATTTCCTTTGGTTTTGTCCAGGAGAATTTGACAATCAAGAGCTTTTAAACTTGGTGATCATTTCCCTTATTCTCACAACCTTTAGATTTGATTAAAGGGTAATAACGTCAGGAGAAATTACAAGCCGAAAACTATTAGGGGTTAAATAGTTAAAGGAACAGTGTGGAGGAAAGAAATACTGTTGGAGATCTACTGCGAGGGACATTACTGGTAGGTCTGTCTACCTGAAACGAAAGAAAGTTAAGGGATGGCAAATATATAACTCACAGGTTACAGATGAGTTCTCAATCTGCAAGACAGTTTATTCCCTTCCTTCATGAGGAAACAAAATAGAATATGGGCAAATACCATAGCATTTTCTGTTCCCTCTTGTTTACACTATAACCTTTTGGAGTCCCAAGAGAAAAATGAATATTCTGAAAAATAAGCCTTAAAACAGAAAACAGAGGACATCAAAGAGTACATCACACTTGAAACTTTAATTTTACATTTACCTACGATCAAATGCATGAATGCATTCTTTTAACTCCTTTTCATATAAAACAATGCTGGAAGGTAATGAAACAGAAATAAGTGGTGTCAAGCAGTTAAACAACACCAATGAAAGCATTAATTAAAAAACAAATTAATGTATAGCTTTAGTTGGATTTTTTTGAATGGCTGGGTGTTTACTCTCTCTCTCTCCATAATCTCTTGTTCTGTCTTCAACACCTTAAATGGAGTAACAGTGGAATTTAAATGCCTGATGAAAACAAAATTACATGCACTAACAGTTACAGTAGAAGGAGAGAAGGGCTGATGTGGTTCGTTTATGGTACTAATTTAATCAAATGAATCTGTTTTCTTATCAGTTAGAACTGTTCATGGACACAAAGTGATTTTCTACCAGCAAGGTTGTTTTAATCTGATAAAAAAGAAACATCAAAGTGTTAGTTTATGATTATGCACTGAAGTGGAGGTGAATAGTGGTGGATATTTACTTACTAGACAAATTGGCAAGGTAAACCTTCACCACTTTCACTGACACTGATTCAGAAGTGAATGATTGTTTAAGTTAGTAGGATACAAACCAAAAAATAGAGCTCATTCCTGTCAATATATCACAAAATAGTCTAAAAATCAAATTGATTGTGCGCAATTATCTCTCTTTCGCTGCTCAGGGGTGGGTAGTACTCATCAATCACTTCTGAACCAGCCAATCAGCATGAGAATCTGTGTGGTACATAATAATGAATAAAATTCAACAGGATCCTCATTAAATACTTACCATGCTAGAATCCTCTCTGCTGAGTAGTAGGAAAGAATGATAGCTGTTGTTACCCTAGGTAAATGTATAGAGAAAAGAAGCAACTATGTTTAGGGAATGTCCCAAACCAACTGTACCCTTCCTGCTGCCATTAATGGCAGCCAACTTTTAGCCACAATTAGCTTTCTTGCTATTTGTGGGGCAAACTATCCTATTTTTATTTTATGTAAAAAGATCAAAGAATAAAATTGTTGTTGCTGTTGTT